AGAAATTCGGCTGAGTAGTCGTTCTAGTCGTTTGACTAAAAACTTGCACTGTCCGGCTGTACTTTTTGTAGGCATTCTGTCGTTGAAAGCTAGGTCGATTGTACTTTTTATCGTCGCATATATATGCGTGCAACATATAAATGTTGTTCGGAGTTATTGATGCTGGTGTTGAGCTGTTGAATGTTGTTGGGGTGATGATTGGTTCTGATGTCACTATGTTCTGTCTCTACCTTAATCTCAAACTAGGACGAGAAGAGAAACCAAGTAACTTTAAGATTTCAATTTCAAGTTTTAGAAACCAATAAAACATCAGAGCTCTAGATATTTGTATATGTCTCCCTGATACTAGAGAGAGAATTTTTTTTTCATGTAATGAGGACGTGAAACGTTACGTCAGTAACCCGAACTATTGACGTGATGAGGACGTTAAGTTGTAAGTAGACCGAGTAAAACAGTAACCAACCAAAAAAACACATATTTTTTTTCAATGTTTTGCGATTATAAAATTACCCCTGGAAAATTCTTTTGATGTAGGGCAGGGAATCTATCTACCAGATGAAAGGCTCGTATAAAAGTTGAGTTCCATCTAAACTCAAAATGTGTGGAATCTGTTTTATCTCAAGTTTTTCTATTTAATCAGTTTCCTTGTTTTGTTTCAAGAGATAATAACAATTGTGAAAAATAATTTCAAAGTTCTTGTGATCATGAGTTAAAGTCAATCAATTCACTTCTGTGTTTTTGAAATGTTTTCACTTTCTCGTCGCTTTTCGTTGTCGCATTTGTATGCGTGCAACATATATATGCCTTGATGTTGTTGAAACTGTGCGTCACACAGTAGTGCAATTTTTCAGTCAAGCCAACGTGGCACTCAACGACAATCGCCAACAAAGTCTTCCGGTCCATTTTGAAGATCAGTTGCGTTTGTTTGTAAGCAAAAATATATATTTATTTTTTTTATTTTATAATTAGTTATTTAGTTCAAAGCGCGCGTTAATTATACTATATTGGCCAAATTTTTAACCTCCATAAGTTTAAAAAATGATTGTAGGTGAAATATTTTTTTTCAATTTGAGCTCAGGATAACAATACTTTTCGGCTAAAAAGCATTTTGTCAAAATTATCTAGTGAAGTTTCGAAATTGTCTGAACAAAAACAATCACCGCGAGCACAAATTTTATGTCACTTTTTTCAAAAGTCGGAACAAAACAGCTCAAGGTGAAGATTTTGATGTTGTGATTAGTCAATATGTGTGAATTTTCAAAAAAAAATTGCCAAAATATCCAAATTTGAAGAAAACAATGATTTTAAATGAAAACGGTTTCATTAATTTGAAGAAAATAACTCGATAAAACATCGGAAAATCAAATGCCAAAATTTATCACCAAATGCCAAAATTTGATTTGCGTAGGTCTCCTAGTTAAAAAATGTTGATTTTTTTTTAGTTGAATTGGAGGAAAAAAAATTCCCTAACAAAATTACACTGATAATAACAGAAAACTGCTCATTTTCTTTTAAAAAACAATTGTATGCTAATTTTGGTTACCAATTTGATAATTTGTATTTAGAAGTCAAAAGAAAAAACTGAAATTTTCACCAAATGCGCTGTTTTTAGTGGAAACCGGTATTTTTTCCCTAGAAAAACGGATATTGTTAACTATTTCCCACCTATTGCAATAGGAGGGAAAGCGGGGAATAGTTAACAAGATACAAAATTCGTTAATGTTTTACTGCTCAGTTCTTTTTTATAGGGGGCGGGGGTGGGTTTCGTTACAAAGTACCATAGGAGAAATAGTTAACAAGATCTAGAAATACGTTCGAAAGGATGCAAATATTGCCTCAATTCTTTTTAAAATTTTTTTTTCAATTTTGAGCTGCAAGAATCGAATGTTTTCAGGTGGTACAAAAATTGTTGTCTAATTTTTCTAGCTAACAAGCAAAGTTGGTCTGGAGATAATGCCCACCAACCTCGAACAATCAGTTATACTTTTGAAAATTTAGGTTGAAAAAGTTTATTTTCATCCATTGAGCGGCGTTTAAGGTTTGCTGATTTTCGTTGAAACAAAAATCAAGGGTCTATCTAGAGATATTCCAGTGGACAGTAAATAAAGAAATCGTTCTTATATAAAATCAATTGTATCCCAAAACAAAACTCAAAATATTGAGAATCATTTTTTTGAGAACAGCTTGTAAACCAATACTTCTCATATTTAAAACAAAAATGTGAAAACTAAATCCGTAACCCGAAAAAAATATTTATCTCAAAAGCAGGAGTCTTAGAGCTTTACAAAAACGCATACTTCAGATAAGTCAGCTTTCTTTAGTGTGTCCTCTTCTTCTTACGCTACTTAATTCCTGATTGTTAAGCTATTTAAGTCCAGTTTGACGACAAATTATTCGAGAAACATTTTGGAAAAAAGCCTGACTTACCAAGACTGCTCGTATATCAGGGCAAAGCTTTAACTTATATCGAATGTTTCCTTTAATTTATTTCACGTATGTCCTTTATCTTATATTGATTAGTTTTTGGGAAAAGAAAATATTAAAAATCTATACCTTTTGGACAATATCAATGAGTAAAATTTTAAGACGAAATTTATACGACCAAATAAATAGCCTCAAATCAGTTTGGACAATTTTGTTGTGCGGGATAGTTCGCCATGCATACATAATTCGCGTAACGCTATCAGCGTTATGAAAAAACTCTTCGAAGCGCGCATAATTTAGTCCATAACATGCCAAATTTGGCAATTTTCAAACCCCCAGAACATCACAAAAAAAACATCAAAGGTGAAATATTTTTTTACATTTGAACTCAAGAAGTTGAAATCTTTAATGGGGTATAAAAAATTTAGTTTAAATTATTATTTCGATCGGTGAAAATTGACTGAATAAAAAAAACCACACCGAGCATAAATATTCCGTTCTTTTCGAAAGTTGGAACAAAAAAGTTTTCAAATATTTTGCAATGTTGGAATATGATTCACTATCCAAACATAACGCAAATGATTCCACTAGCACAAATAGTAGTTTTGCCGCAAAAGAAAAACAAATGAACTGCGACTAACCACGAGTTGAGTTGTTTCAATTTTTAAAAAAGAGCAAAAAATAAAATTAGCATATTAAAAGCTGCGTAAATTGAAGCCAGTCACGTAGTTCTGGACTTTTTTGTTCTCTTTTCTTTCACTCAGAACTAAAAATATGTTTTTTATAATGATTTAGTCTTTTTTCATACAAAAACTTTACATTTGTCAGCTTAGTTTTAATTATTCACCCAATATTTTCCTGATTCAGTTTTTCTATTTCACGAAAAATTTTTTGCCTGTTCATTTTCACACTTGATTCCGACTTTTCAAACAGTTATCCAACTTGCATCAGCTCTCTACCTTGTTCCCATTAAACAAAAACCAAGTCATTTTTGTCATTACTTTTTCAATCAAGACTAAAATAACCCAGATTTTGTGGTTGCCATTTGGCCTTGCTTCAACGCAGATTTTTTCAGCGCACTGTTGCTTTTCGGAATTTTTAGCTAAATCATCAGTTCTTAACATGTTTAACATCGGTTTCAAGATTTCTGAAAGTCTTCACATGTCGTTTGGTAAGGATAATAAATTTCAAAGTCTACGAGCTTCGTATTTTAAATAACACTGAGATATAAGCCACAAACGTCTTAAGGTAAACAGTGACAAAATTCATTTCTGTCCAGATTTTTATTTTTTCCGTCATAAAAATTTTTGCAAAAACTGACAAGGTCTTTGTTTATTTTGGACTTTTACCTTATTGTTGTAATTTTACTTAAATTTCTACCAAATCTTCCAACAGATCAGCGCAAAAATTTGATCTCTGCGCAGTATTTTTTTCAGGCTGAAGGTAGCTGTTTCCTGTTGCATCTTCTTCTGATTAGAGGTCATCAAGATCCAACAAATTATACAACAAAAAATTTTAATGACAATATTTCCGAAAACATCTCAAACATCCTAATTCAGTGCATAATTTTTTTTTGAGCAACTTTTTTTATCAAGGTTAGGCAAGCGACTGAACCCTATATTTCATTTTTTCTTAACAATTCTTATGGTCTTTCCTTTAATTGTTCCATGCTTTTGTAAAGTTTCTTGTGATTTTTTCATTTGTTTTTCATTTTAGTTAAAATTTATTGTAAAATCACGAGCACAAACTCTGGTTGTTAAATGTTACTCTGAACAGATAGCAAAAAAACTGGAGGGCAATTTGGCCGAAATTATTTTTCCAAGCATTTTGAGTTTTCTCAAAGAAATCCCGTATATGGTCAGGGTTGAAAAATTCTTAACTTTTTTCAGTCGGGCTTTAAATTCGACAAATGTACTTGAAAACGTTTCACTGATACCAAGAAAAACTTTTCTAGTCTAATGAAAGCTTTTAATTTCCACTCCTGTTCCCTGAACTACAATATGCCCAAACAACTTGTTTCAAATATTCGAGAAAAAAACTGGTTTCATTTAAAATCATTTGGTTAAATGTAGCAGTAAACATGTTTTCTGGGGCCAATTTATTCGATGCTACGAACACAGCAATTTGTTACTCTAATACAAATTGTTTTTTATTAGCATCCTTCATTTTTTCTGTGACATTTTGCATTGAGGAAAAATTCCGTTTGCATTTCGATGTCTTTGTCTTTTAATGCAAAAAAATATGATCGACAATTTTCTATTCAACCGATGATTTAAAAAGAAAACTAGTGACGTCACAGCACAATTCGAAATTATCTTATCTACTTGTTTGACTAACGAGCTAGCTTTAACTAATTCGTAATCACCCTTTTGGTTTCATTTTGCCAATTGGGTTGACGTAAATATCGTTGACGCCAAAAACACAAGCAGTTTTAAAAAATTATGAGAGAATAATTTATTTGAAAACTAAATAATGTTACATTGGCACTTTAATTAAAACTAAAACGAACATTGTTTGAGACAAACAAAAAATACTTAAATAATTTTTTTATTAAAGATAATAAATTCTGAGTTTTTATTAAATAAATATTGGGATTCCGATCTGATAGTAGCTTCATCATGATTCAAGAATCAACAGTAAGTTTTTTGTAGTTTAGATTTAATTTTGCGAGTTTCATATACTGCTTTCGGCAAGTGGCGCCAATTTTTTCTCGCATGAACGATTGATTTCCTCCTCGGCATCAACCGAGAGTTTATTTGATCCCGAAGTGTATTTGACACTGTTTCTCATTTTCATTCTCTCTTTATTTACCTCTCGCTTTCCGCCCCGGGTATTCAGTTTTGACGAGCACGTTCGAGACGAGACGACTCCTTGTTGATTCCCAAACTCGTTCACGTTTTGCATCCCAATTGCTCGGGATGTGGCGACCCTTCGGCTCAATCCATCCACCCGTCCCCCCGACCGAACGGAAGCGTTTGTCGGATTTCTTCCCGTGGATCGTTTTGGGCCTAATCCGAGTTTCTTCCTGATCTTCAAGTACATCTGGTCGCGGTGTTTGGCGATGCACTTTCGGAGTGAACTGCTCATAAGTAGAAGAACCATAGGGTTTATGGTTGAGTTGTAATAACTCAAGTTGTTAGCGACGTACAGCAGTGGTAGGGGAACTGAAAAAATGCCGGTCTCGTTGAATGCAAACGAAATGGAACAGCTCATCAGGGGTAGATTACAGACTACGAAAATAACGACCAGAATCAGGACTGTTAGCCCTAACCTCTTTCGCTTCTCAACCTGCTGCAGAATACCCATGTTAATTGTCTGTCCATTCTTGATGATAGTTTTCTTGTTCAGCTGGAATAAAGTGACCGAGATGTGGATATAAAAGCAAGAAATGATGATAAAGGGAATGAAAAACTGCCAGATTATGGTGACAACGGCGCCCACACGAGTTCGGTCAGGCAGACATATGGAATAGGTGAACTCGAAGTTGTTCAGCTCCGTGATGTTGATGGTTCGGAACTCGAGGACGGCGTGGTGTGCTTCTAGGAGGGATAGAAACGCGGAGAGGGAGTAGACGACGGAGATGCCCACCACAGCTGACTTAGCGCTGTACTGCTGGTAGAACTGCATGGGGTACACTATCACCTTCCACCTGTCACGTGCCAGCAGGGCGAAGATCCAGATCGAACAGGTCTTGCAGAAGGCCTGGAATTAAAAAAAGAAGCGAATATTTTAATTGCTGATGAAAACAATGCAGAAGCCAAAACTAGCCCAACCTTCAAACTGCAGAATTTTTTTAAATTTCATTTGTTCCTACGCATGCATAGCAGTATAGAAAAACGTCATTGAAAAAAGTTACTGTGCACAAAATAGACAGAAATTCGCTTGATATGCCAAAATAGTTTATTGGAGGAAAAATTTGAGTTTTTAGTCCTACAGTTTCGAAGCAAAAGTGCCCCCTCCACTCTCGTTGAGGAAACTTGGATTGCATCTGATTTTTTTGTTTCTGACTACCCGGGTTGACAAAAGATGGTTGTGAACAATATCATACAAAAAATGCTTGAAAACTGAAAACATCCTATGGAACTCCAAACATTTCCATAGAATTAACAAAAATTGTATGAAATTGGCATGATAAGCATTTTCAATACTATGGAGTTGTCATTTAACATTTTTTCTATTACTAAGAAACTGATGAACATGATATCATACATGTGCCATACAAAAATAAATCAGGGAGTTTTGCCCTATAATCTTCTTTTTTATCCGGACACAAAACAACTTGTTGCTCATGAAAAAAACCTTCAAGTAGGAAGAACCGCACTTGTAAACTATATTTGTATCTGTAAGCTTTTCTATCGAGATTAATTGAAATGAATTTTACATGTATTTCAATTAAAACACGCAACCTTTTGTTATTTGATAAGAAAGCTTTTGCTGTGTGAAAAATTGTGTTTAAACATGCGGGCAGTCTTGTGATAGCTTTAGTCATTCTTACTGTCTAAAAAAAACGTTTAGTAAAAACACTCATTGTAATTGCTGGTTCTTTTTTGAGAAATTGTGAGTTTGGACTACGTTATGGACAAAAAATGTATATTCTGTTGGACACAAAAATGTTTATCAAGCAATTATGACTTTTGAAAATGTATAACAAGTGAATTTTATCCTCAAAAAGTCCCTGAAGAATAAGATTAGAAAGCAATAAATTTGCCTCTCTGAATCACAATAAATAGTCTGAAATAGCGTAAAACAATCAGTTTTTTAAAAAATGGCTGAAAAAAGACAATTTTTTGACTTTTTGGAAATCAAATCCTGGCTGAAAAAAAATTAGTACACACTGCACGAGATTTTCTAGGGCAGTGAAACGCTCGAAAAAATCTCATCTAGCATTTGCAAAAAAAAAAGATGGATTTCCACGTTCATTATGAGGCCAAACTGTGCATTCTGTGCATTGCAAGTGGATTCCGCAACAGGCCAAAATCAGATTTAGATTTGTCGCGGAGTCCGCATTTTTGATCTTATTCGCTGTTTTGGATTTCACAAACAAATACCTAAACCACTGTACCGCTCAAAATTGCTCCAAAAATAAGCGATTTTGCGGAATCTACAGCCGCAAGGGCAGAATCCAGAACAGTTTATGGAATCCTCAAATAAATAATAAAACATTTGTATAGTTAAATTGAGATGTTGCGGATTCCGCAACTAGAAGCGGAATCCGCAAATTGTAAGTGGAATCCGCAAAATCTACGTGAAATCCGCATTTTGTTTGCGGATTCCGTTTACATATATGTAGATGTGTAGTATAGCGTTGAAAATTATATATTTTATTCACTAGATGCTCATCAGAAAAATCAATCTCAATTACTGCAATGATCATCTACCAGTTGAAATACCAAAAAGTTGGTCTAAATTCCTGTCAACCCAACTTTGATCTCAAATCCTGTCAATTTCGATCTCAATTCAGTAAAATCGAAATCTACTAGTTCATCAGTATTTGGGATTGCTGGAAACCCAAATACTTACCAGTATTTGAGATTTATGCAATCCCAAATACTGACCTAATTCGGCAATATGATGCGTGTTGTGTTTCCAAACACTCTCAAATCAATGACTACAAATATTGAGTTTAATCGGCGTTATGCTTCCAAAATTAGTTAATGGGAGTAACGTAATCCCACATACTGACCTAATTTGGCGATATGCTGTACATTGTGTTTCCATACACTCCCAACCCAATAACTACAAATATTGAGATTATTCGGCGTTACGCTTCTTAAACCAGTATTTGGGATTGACACAATCTCAAATACTGACCTAGTTTGGCGATATGCTGTGTTGGATTTCCATACACACTCAACCCAATGACTCCAAATAGTGAATTTATTTGCTGTTGTGTTTCCAAAACACTAAAAGGTGACATCCACCGATTTAGTTAACAAATGTTTTGAGATTTGTTCGTGGACTCCGCTGACAATGGTTAGGTTCTTGCCTTTGAATTCTGAATTGCTTTGGATAAGAATTGCAGCTATAGCTTTTAGATGTTCATATACAAGTTGAATAATAAACAAAATTCTGAATCCTCTTACAGTTTGTGGAAATCTCTTGCATTTGCGGATTCCGCTTACAAATTTTGCGGATTCCGCTCACATTTGCGGATTTCACTTACATATTATTGAAATCTACTTACAGCTGCGCAATTCAGAGCAACTAGCTATATTCGCTTGTTGCGGAATCCGCGGCGCAACAAAGGTGCCGACAAAATTTACGTTACAGGTGTTTGTATGCGGTATCCACGGAAATTTCGTAAGTGGAATCTACTTACATTTTGAAACATGTTTAAAGGTTTGTCTATGAAATCCAGGAACTTAGGGACAAAAAATTGTGCGCTTATCCAGTGTACAGTTTGGCCTCGTAATGTGCCTCCTCAACAGAAGAGCAGGAGTATTCTGGAAGAACAATACTTAGCCGAGCTGGACGTTCACCAAAACGCATCGAAACGCTCTGAACTCAAGCAGGCCTCGTAATGTAGATCGAAGTCTCAATCTTAAAACAAATTTTCGCCATCGTAGCTTTTCATTCTACAAAGAGCTTAAAATAACCACTGAGTGCACATCGTTGCAGTAAAATTGTGGTTACTTGCAGCAATTTGTGCCCAGGAATTAATTTTGACAAAATTTTATCGCTTATTTTTTCACAAATATTTTGTAATTCCCAGCACTTATTCATCGATGAATTAATTTAATGTCGAAGTTTTTCTGCGCCAATCTGCAAAATTTGGTAAATCATGTTTAATATATGTAAAAATACTGAACCATCAATAAAACTTCTCACAAAACTGGGATTTCAATGATTCAACGATGATTGTTTTTGAAAGTTAAACCCGGGACTAGAGGTCAAGTTTAATATCGCAAATAGTTTTGCCTTCTCAATTCTCTACAAAAATTTTCTTTTGACATTTACAAAAAAAAACATAAATTTAAAATTGTTCAATATTTTTAGTAATTTTCCTTTTCGTAACTAATAAAATTGTGTTTTTCGACAATTGACCAAAATTATATTTTTTCGTGAGAATAAAAAATTTTAAGGTTCACTTTTAAGCGAGGCTCTTTTTCTAAATAAAGTTTTCGTTCATTGGTTGAATGTTTCCTTCATTGTATTGTAATTGCACTTGAACTCTGCAATTTCTTCAGCTGAGAGATAGACAAGAGACTAGGAATTTTTTTTTTGCCAATTTGTGCTTGATTCAATTGGAACTGACCAATTTTTGTGCCAATTTTACCGTAATTAATGCGCTAACAAAGGGAAACGCGTCTTGAAAATAATCAATCAAATTGGCACCTTTTTCGCTTTTTTCCGTCTTGCTTCGTGTTTTAATCGATCATTTCTCTCAAAATTGTAACCGAATCTCAAACCAAAAAAAATGCTAATAGTTTCTAGAATGGAACAAAAACTTAGGTTAATTGTTTGAACGCAGTAAAAGAGCTTAATAATTCATGCGTTTCGAAATTGGGCTACGAAGCGCCTAAAAGCTCAGACAAAAAGGTGTCAGAAATAGAATAAAAAAGAACTAATTTACTTTTATTGCTATTTTCACACTTGTTTTTTTTCAAAAAGACAATTTAGCATTCTATAAAAAAAAACATCAAAGAGTAGAGAACTAAAACACACAGCAACGCAAATACGAGTCACCAAAAATAGATCCTTAGGCAAAATAAAAATTGAATTCGAGTCCGTCTAGACCCCAGGCAAGTTCCAGACTCCCCAAAGATACAAATTCGGGTCTGAGGAGCTTTCAATTTTTTATTATATCAGCGGGGTACTCGATTTAGTGACGGGGCGCTGGTGATTTAATGCATATTTGAAACGAATATCAATAATTCATTTATTTTTCAAACTGAGAAGAAATTTTAGCACGACAAAATTGTTATCTTTTTGAATTTATGCTCCTACCCTTGTGTTTAGGCATAATATTTTAAAACAAGCCGGCTTTTTTGATAGCTTCATCTCATATACATCAATTTTATAGTGAAACGAGGGGTTTTACAAAGTTAATAATGGAAACAAAATATGTTTGTCATGGCTAAATTTGTCCGCAAGCCAATTTTTGAAACAATCGGACAAGGTGAACAGAAAAACTAATTTAAAAATTTTGATATACATTACAATATTACAAGACTCATTACAATATTTGTACAATAAGTTGAAGACTCGCAACTACAATGTTCCAACTTTGTTCTTGGGTTTTCTTTGGTTTTTCTCAGGACAAGATTTGAATTTTTTACTAGGTTTTTCCACTTGAAAGCTGAGGTTTATATCAACTGAAAGCTAATTATATCCTCGGCTCAAAAACGCCAGGATAACTTTTCTGCTACTTTTTTGCGACGTAAGGCGGTTTGAAAAATAACACCTTGATAAAACTGGTGCATTATACAATAGTATATATACAGATTAGATAGAGATATTTACATAGCACGAGAGGGGATCCATAGCTCATTAAAAAAATTAAATTTTTTTATAAAACTTTTTATTGGGAAATTCCAGAAGAGCCAAAGCTTTGCCCTGATACAAGCAAGTTCGCTTTTCTATTCCAATTTTAAAAGAAAGCAAGGAGTATACAAATGATAGGGTTTTTATTTCAAACTAATTGCGACGATCGAAGCGATTGTTTCTAACTGAAATTTGTCTATAATAAAGTGAAGATGTCG